CTCTTGTAGAATGCCATTCATCTGCACCTCCCTCTTCCTACATGACAGATAGTCCTTGTGGATCCAGTGTGGAGAACAAGTGTACCAAAAGAATGATTTTAAGATAATTAAGAGAAAGGCAAGTTCATTACTTTGTCAGCATTTTTTCATCTGAGTTGCAGCTCACTACTGAGTGGTAAAAGTAAGTTAGCAGGGTCCTGAGGGAGATGTTCCCGAGTACCTCTTGCCCCTTTTGCAGGGCATGGGAGAAGCTGAATGCCACTTGCTGCATCTCCAGGTTTTTCTTTTTTCATTTCTGGGATTTTTTTTTTCCACTTAATTACCACTCTAGGAAGATTTCCAAATTGCAGAACTAGGAGAAGGAAAAGCAACATGTTGTTAGCCTGGTGGGAGAGGCTTACCAAAGTACGCAAGTAGTCTGTGGTATGTGGTTTCACATGAATCAAGTGACTAAAACTGCCGTCCGTTTTGAGAGGCTTGGAGATGCTGGTAGACTTCCCATTGTGATAGTCACCTAGAGTACAACTGTCTTGATACCATCTGCCGTGGTGTAATTGAGCGTGGATGGGAAGCTGGTTTTTAGCTGTTGAAGGAAACAGACTTTTTCTGCTGTGAGCAGAGAGTAACTCGTCTTCCACGTGTGCAGTGCATGTCGCGGCACTTGCGAGATGCTCTGCTTTTGCCAGAACAGGAAACAAGAGTCAACTCAGTGGACCAGAGCCTAGGTTAAGGGAGGTTTTAAGGAATGTCCACATCACTTAGTGGGTCGCCAGGACATTTTTTTGAATTGGGAAGCTATAAAAGCCATGGTACATAGTTTTGACAAGCTTCTTGGATGGAAAAATTGGGCGCAGTGATCAAGAATGTACTTTCCCAGTAACCGTGAAGCACCTGATCAACGTGTGTCCCTGTGTTTGCTGAGATCTGCAGAGAGGTAGACAATCCTGAATCTAGTAGTACTGCACTGGCTGCAGATGCCCTGAATTTCAGATCAGCCGACAGAACTTCTGTCTGTGCCTTGAGAGAGAGGACCCTCTGCCTCAGGTCCCAGTGTGCAGCCCCGCTGCAGCAGGCTGGCCAGTGCCTGGCTTTGCATGAACAGCAAATAAAGTGATGGGGCGTGCGATAGTTCATCTCTGTCTGCGCTTCATCTTTCCGGATGAGGTACCTCCATGCATAGAATTCATCAGGCTAAAGTTTTAAAGGCTGATTAACATGCAGATAGCAAAATAAGTCAAGGGTAGTAGCATCGTTCCGAAAGTCACATATATCAGCACTGCCAGGTGTGACGAGTGTTCATGTCTTCTGATGCTGGACCTTCATCATCTTTTCTGACACGTCCCCACCAACTGTAGAGCCCTTCCACTTCTGGTACCAGGTTAGAGTCAAATCATCCCACTTGCATCCCTACGGGTTTGAGGGATGAGTATTGCAGCATACCGTTGTTGGCTGAAGAGAGTACACCGGTATTGCAAAATACCAATTTTGCCTGAAGAGGGTGTATTTCAGAGTAAAAAGAGTGATTTTTTTTTTTTTTTTCTTTCTACTCAGACGATACATGGGCCATTAACACACTGTCTTCTCTTTCCATACATTGTGGTCTTGTTTTGCAGTGTTGTAGATCAGGTGTTTTACTCTCAGCCACGTAACAGCCAGCACTCAGCCTCTTGTGCTTGGCAGCGCAGTCCTGGTCAAGCGATGATGTGCCTGGGTATGCACTTGTACATTGCCTTGGGACGGCCTCCTTGGTGTCCCCGTGTAGGTCAGAGAAGAAGCTTCCTCCACCCAGCAGGCAGTATGATATGACACTGAAAATCCAGCTGCGGTTTCCTCTGCATGGTTTATAACCAAACAGCTCATACAGGCTGATATTTTCATATGCTATAAAACTCTTATTTAAGACTTTTTTCCTGAAAATACGTGGAAGAGCAACTACTTCAGGTTTTGCGTACAAGCAGCACCTTGCATTCTATAATTTAGCTTACTTTCTTTATATTACAGGCTTTTATGCAGAGGCCATCAAAAATGAGGAGTGATTTCTCTGCTACTTTCAAAAAAATTGTGCTTTCAGCTCAAGCATTCAATGCTATACAGAATTTTTTAAAATTCAGTATTTTAAGCATTCTTATCATCTAATCATTCTTCAAGCGTTCTTACGATCAAACTCACAGGTAAGAAATAATTGTAAGTGAAACAAAAAATTTTGAAAGTCAGTTCTTTCAATAGTTCCAGTTTGCCATACTTACGATAGTGGTGGAAATTTTCAGTGTCAGCTGGAGGCCATTCAGGAAATTTTTAATAGTGTGTTGAGAGGAGAATTTAATCTCAACTTCATACACTCACTGAATCCGACCCACATGCAAGTAAAAGAAAATCCCTTTTACCTTTTTCGACAGTTGCATGATGACACTCATTCCCTATCTATTCGATTCTCTTGCATTAGATCCTACCAGAGGAAATGACACTAAAATTTAGCAACTGTTTGCACTACGTGCAATGCAGATGCCTTAAAAAAATAAATCTAAATGTCAGTTTCCAAATTAAGTTACGTTATAGTGGGCTGTTATTTGTTGGTGTTGTTTTTTTGTTGTTGTTGCTTGTTTTACTCCTGCTCTGACTTTGAGTAAGAAGATCTGCAAAGGATGAGTGGTTTTCTTTGTTGAATATTCACTTTATAGTCTTTGCTGTTAGAGTGTGCAGGTCTGAAGATCACTGGTGCTATAACTGGTTTCCTGGTTGGTTGGTTTGTTTTTAAAGTGCCTTGTATAGTCTATCAGGGAAAAACACGTAATATACCTACATTTGATACTAGAGAGAAGTTTTTGTAGATTTTACTGTGCTAATTGTATAGCAGCAGATGACTGTAATATAAAACAAGATTTATGTCTCAAATTGCAAATATTTTTTGTTTATAATTCAGTAATGGAGGACAGAATTCCTGTCGACCCCGTTCGCCATCGCAGGAGTCCATGTAGCGTGCCTCTTGGTACCCACTGAGATAGAGAGAGACGCAGGATGATGGATGCATAAATCTGTTTGTTGTTTCCATATTGTGCTCATGTGGTGTTTGTTTAACTGCAGTTGTAACATTTTTGTGTATAGAAACTGAAAGATGTTGAATATGTTGATTCCTTGAAACTTCGCTGGTGCGGACAGAGTGTGCTGCTTTTTAATGCTAGTAATGTAAAAGCAAGCCTGTGTGCTAATTGTCACGTTTTGGTTTCTACGAACTTTTGAACCATCTTAAAGGAACTGCAGATGCTTTGATGCGCTCATGTTTAGGGTAACCTAATACGTCCTGATCACCGTCACTCTCACTGAGTTGGTCTGGGTGTGAACTTGAGAAGTGACACGACGGATAGGTGGAAATCCCAGTGCGTAGGTGCACTTCCCCTGTGCAGGGAAGGCGAAGTACATTCTCTGCTTAGTACATTGGTTTCTGACGTGAAAACAGTTATCTATGATGCTGGCAGCTGTCAGATATTTTACTGTGGACAGATTTTAATTTCTCTGAGGTCTCTGTAGCATAAGGCTTAAATATGCACTTTAAATATGGCAGCTGACCGTTCTGAGCTTTGCTGGTTCTGCTCTACAGGGTCCCAGGGGATGTTAGTCACAGGGCTGGGTCTTACTCCAGCTTGAGATGAGATGGCAGGGAGACAAAAAACTCGGAAGAGAACAGGTCTTGCCCCATCCTCATCTTCAGCTTCCTTATGTCAGTGGTTCAAGGTGTGTGTATATACATTTAATATAGCTGTTATTACAGAGGGTATAACATCTTACTGATTCATAGACCTCTGTGGACGCGCGCGTGTGGTTTCTACTAACTGGTAGTTGTTCAGATGAAAGTAATTTGATAAAACGTCTTGGCCTGGAAAAGGCGTAATTTACACTAGTAATGGTAGCCACTAAGTAAATGTAGTTAGTTCAGCCTACTGCATGGAAATAGAGTTGGTTGTGTCTTGTGCTTTAGTCATTCCTGTTTTTTTATGAATCTTTTTCATATTCCTACATCACCTTGTTGGTTATGAGCAGAATTGATCTAAGTATCAGTAGTTGTGTTTATGCAATGCAATGTTCTCTCTTTGTATGAGTGACAACTAGGAAAAAAAATGGAATTTATTTTACATAATTTTAGCAGCCTGCAAGGTGGCTTGTAGGCAGGCTGCCTCTTCAGCCAGCAGAGAGGGGCACAGTCAGAGGGCGCCGTGTCCGGTTTGCAGTGCCTGTCTTGTGGCCACAACTGGGATCCTGCCACCTGATCTGAGCTGTCTGAGGTGAGATGATCAGTCCCATGCTCTGGGAACAATTGTGTTTAACAGTATAGCTACACTGATCCAAAAAACCTGTAGTAAAGAGTCTGCACTGGTGGAAGAATGTAAAATACGTAAGTGCAACTTGACCATGATTTAGAAAACCAGCAGCCTGCTGGTATATGATTTAATTTTCAGTGCAGTTTAGTTGCAAGGTTTTTTTTAATTGTAAGACTCATCTATATTTTTAATGCATTTAAAATAATGCAATAACCGTGTTGCACGCCACTTCTCCTAACTTCGCTTCCATTTTCTCAAAGTGTTCAGGTGCGGTTACTGCAAGGCAGGAGGCAGAGCAGCTCGGCTGCTGGCACTGTAGGGCTTTGGCAGGCAGCATGTGTTGTCTGGGTAAAAAAGAAGACTAAGGGAATTTAATATTGTAGCATCCATAAAAAATGGGAGCACTTAATAAAGTGAGACTGTGTAAAACTTTCTCATGGATGGAATTTACATTACTGCGTTTTATTGTTCCATCTACGCAGATCAAATGATAAGCATAGTGTCACATACACGTTTGTGACTGTTCTGTTAAATAGGTTTTAATACTTAATGTTTTTACTGTCATGCATTTTGAAGCAGCAATTATTTCTAAGAATAAAGATAATTACATTTGTCTCGATGCTCTCAGGATTAAAAGCTGTATTTTAAGGTGTATCACAATAGATGAGGAGAGTTCTGCTCTGATACGCCGTTCGAAGTCCGGCAGCACGGTGGCCAGTCCCGTACCACTGCTGCTGGTATTGTCAATGAGCCTGGTAGAGTTTTCGCAGTGGTAAAAAGTGTTGCCAGTAGATGACATTGCGGAGGCATGCTCAGAAACGATGCCAAGAACGAGTCTGGTGGCTGGTTTGGCATTGGGGGGAAGTGGGGAGGGGGTGGAAGCCGTAATCCATCTCAGCTGTGTGTGCGCAGGGCTTTTCTCCTGGCTCGGGCTCTCACACGCAGGCTGGCTCGCGGGGACATGTGACTTTTGGCCATATTAGCAGGGTTATACAAGCCTAGCCCCTCTGACTAAAAAGTGTAGGGGAAACGCAGGCTGGCTCGCGGGGACATGTGACTTTTGGCCATATTAGCAGGTTTATCCAAGCCTAGCCCCTCTGACTAACAGATGGAGGGAAAAGGGCATTCTGGGATTGCAGCAGTTGCTTTTGAACAACAATGTCCTTTTTGTAAGAATCTGATGCTTCTTAAAAGATGGAACATGACATCATGACTGTCGATCCAAGAAACATTCCTTCAATAATACTGAGTGTGCTCTGGTTATCAGCTCCCTTCCCCCAGCTCCTTTCGCTCGCTTTTCTGACTGATGCTTTTTGTCTATTGTTTCATCAGGGGCTGTAAATGTGAAACAGTTGTCTTTCAGTGTTATGTGCTTGTTAGAGCTGGAATCAAGTGAATATTGTTGGCTTGTTTGAAAGAAAGAAAGAAAAATAACAAAAACCCTAACTTTTCTTCCAGTCTTCATAAATGTAGCGCGTTTCAGGTACGGGCTGAGTTGAAGCTAGTAATTTCCCTTCCCACATGGTGTTAGTTACTGCGTTATGCAACGGAAGGTGGAGATATCGCAGTCCCGTGCATCTCCCTTGGCTTCATTGACAGCTCGGTGTGTCATGTGCCGATGCCGTCTGCTGCGAAGGCTCCTACAGTTCTCCTGCATTGACACGAAACGCGTGTGTGCCTGCTCACGAGTGCGGTATAGGAGAGTTGTGAACAGCTGCGTGTTTTCTGTGTCTGTGTGTGTGTGTTCTATACTTCATCCACCGCTGGGATTTGAATGTCGTTTTTTCCTTAGCCCCTGAGAGCGGGCTATCATGGAAACGCGTTGGGTTGCGTTATAAATCTTTCTGAATGCTGACTGCTTGGAGGAAAGCTATGAAAATGCTGGATTGCACTTCCCTTCCCTGTGTTCTCTCTCCCACGCATGTCTTCATCAGGAAAACTGGAGACTCTTGCAGACTTTACAGCAAGGTATGTCTTGGCTGTCTCTCGCACAATCGTGCTCTCCTTGCAGTGATGCTGGCAGTTATTTGAACTAACAAGGAGCAGGCAGTCTTTGGCACTTTCACATGCTGCAACTGTCTGGAGAAGAGTACCACCGAGCCTAAACATGCAGGAGTATGTCTTTTTCCATCCTTGTAGGAATTGCTCTGCAGGGAGGGGAAAAACAAATGATTCATTGATGGTCTAGAGGCTTGGAGAAAGGTGGAGTTACAGTGTCCAGAAAAGGAGACAAAATGGACAGGGATAGGGCCTGCTGATACATTGGTTAAACTGATGTTTATTGTCTTTTTTTTGCCATTATGAAGATGTAAAATGTTTTTTAAAAACAAATTTGAGATAGGAAATTTTGAATTAAAAAAGCGCAAGTCTTGACCAGGCAGGGGTTTTTGGAAAGAAGTGAGCTGTGTGATTTGCTCTTTGTCAGTGACACAGAATTGTTTTTATTGGTGGCCACTTACAGGGAATTGAGAGGAAATCCCTTCATTTAGGAGGGGAAAAAAAAATGTGCATTTTACTTGTAATGGTTGTTTGGCTTCACCTGTTGTAAAGATACAGTAAGATTTTTAGCACAACCCGAAAGTATACTTTTATTCTGGATAGATTCCAAGACACACTTCGGTAAATGGAAGCAAACGCACGGCGCAAGCAGAAGAGGTTTCATACGTTCCCGATGGCGTCTGAAGTTGCAAGTTCCTCTGAAGAAAGTGTTTGCCAATGGGCTAGTATAGAAGGCTGGATCATGTGTTATTGCAATTAAAATACATGTTTGCATCTGCTTAAGCCGTGTAGAAAGACATGCATCGTGCGGAAGTGAGTGTCTGCTGTTTTGGATGCTGTTTCTCTAAGTAAGAAGAGGCTTGTGAGTAAGCCTGAAGAACAGGCACTTTAAGATAGAGATTGTGAATTTAGATAGGAGAAAAAACCAGAAAGGACTGTGAATACTCGTGGAAGGAGAAGCTTTAGAGAGGTCTCCATGTTTGTGTTGAAATGAGTAAAAAATTGATTGCTGGCTGCTTCTTAGCTGGAATACAGTTGCAGAAGGAAAAAAAATGCTGAGCAGAATTTCAAAAAATGTAAATACAGATTAGTAAATGGCAGTGGCGGTTTGTACACATCATACTTGTGCCATATATCTTGTCTTGCAAAGACCATGATATAGATATCTATGCAATTGTGTCATCCACTTCACAAAATCCAAACAGTACTATAGGAAATAACGCACGTAACTCTTCAGAGGCAGGGTGTCAAGGTCACAGAGGCTCACTGGTGACAAACTGGTTATCGCTGTAGGTCAGAGGGATTCTGTTGACCGCTCTGCAGGTGACTGAGCAGATGCTGGAGCAAGGAACGTGTCTCATTTTGTGTTCTGGTTTTGGTTTGTGTTCAGTAGAGATGCTGGACTGTTGTCGCAGTGGGACTGTGACATTATCCCAGCAGATAGGTCGCGTTGCTTTATGCAACAGGGACGCTTGCTCTGGAAGAAGTGGAAGCTGCTCTGCTGTAGCTTTGTTTCTGGCTCTTTGAGAAGAGGATAATCAGTGAAGGATTGCAATCTTTTTTCTTGCAGTAATCCATGCTGAAGAGGCTCCATTCATACAGATGAACCAAGGGTTGAGGCAGCACTTTATACCCAGATAGTCGGTCGGCTAACTGCCCAGCAGGATGCCATCAACCAGCCGAGCGGGCAGCCTGAAGGACCCAGAAATTGCAGAGCTCTTCTTCAAAGAAGATCCAGAAAAGCTCTTCACAGATCTCCGAGAGATTGGCCATGGAAGCTTCGGAGCAGTTTATTTTGTAAGTAGCTCCGTGACTTGTGAATTTTAGCTGTGTCTGTCTTTAAACTATGGATGTAGACTTTTTTGAACGTATTGAGGAAAAGAAACTACTGTGAATCTTGTTGTATGGTGTTTGGGGCAGAGAGGTTTTCTTGTGTGTGTGTACAGTGTCAGTCCGTTCACAGCCTCGCAGTATCTGTAAGGTGTTTGCATGCAAACTGAAAAGAAAAACTGGAGATGTGGCCCTTGCCTGATGCTTTTAGGTCCATCGTTGTGCTGCAAGCAGGGATTTCTCTGAGAATTAAAACATGGACTTCTGCTCCATCAATTCTGACTGGCAGTGCAGTTCTCTTGGTCTCCGTATCATCTCCTGTCCCTTGAGAGAAATTGAGTTCTCCCTCCCTTCGTGCATACCCCCAGGCTCCCTTAAAGCCATTCTTTGTGTTTGACACCTGAATGTTGGTGCTTTTGTTGTCATTTGTCCTGTCACATCTGCAGGCGAGAATCCTGGTACTCATCTGCATAAAACTTACTTGACATGGGCGTCTCGACAGCAGAATTTTTCCCAGGCTGCTTGTATAGCTCAGCTGGAGGTGGGGTGTCTCACGGTAACCTCATTTGCAGGTTGTTATATGTTAACCAAAGTGCATACTGTGAGACCGTCATTAAAAAAAACATTTTTCTCAGAAAACCTTTTCACATTTATAATTATAGGAGGTGTGGCCAAACCTGCCAATTTTCCTTCAGAAAGCCATTTGTGTCAGTATTTTATGAGATGCCTATTCATTGTTAATAATTGCAGGAGACCATGTTGGGAACCTTCCAGCACAAATTTAATGCAGCACAGATGAACTAATTAGGAAAAGCTTCTTAATTTTGTTCCCTGCTTAAAACTATGAGCTGCCACTGTCTGGGAACAGATCTGGGGGAGGAAGTGTTTTCCAACGAAACAGTGCTCACCTGCGGCCTTCGCTTCATCACATTTACTCACTTTGGTTAAAGAGTGGCTAGAAAAGGAGGGAACTGACTAAGCTGTCTTCCTGCTATGGAAATGTTATTGAAGAAATACTATTGTGGAAATATAATTGAAGGTTTTCAGGAACAGTGTGCCTTATAGAGGTGTGCATGAAGCACATGGGTATGGAAAACCAGCTTGCAGCTAGAGGTGACCTGCGAGCTGTGTGCTGCCAGCATTCCCAAAGCCAGAAGTTGCCGTCGTGGCCTTGCAGGCTGCCTGAACTTTGTAGTTGTGGTAAGAGCTGACTGCCCGTTGCCAGCTCCTTCTACAAAGAGATCGAAAGTAAGAGGTCATTAATTTCTAGACCCTTCTTTCTCTTTTTTCCCCCCACCATTTTAGGCTTCCAGTTCATTATAGATTGGTGTTTATTCACTAAAAGAGTGCAGTTGATGGTATTTGGATTGTGTTTTTTTGACAAAAAGTACATCTAATTTGGCACTAGGAAAAAGGACAAGTGTAAGCAATGCATCACACCACTCCAGCCTGTTTGAGGGCTTTTTGTCAAGTGAGAGACAGTCTCAGCAAAGGAGATACACTGTTGGTATTTCTGTGTTACAAAGTTTTAACCTACAAGTTTTGTGTTGTGTTAAGGTATCTTTGCACTACTAGCAGGTCTAAGATGTTGAATCTGAAAGTGTTTCATGTCCCGTACTCCATACCTGGAACCGAAGCGCAAAAGATGAGGAAGATAACATGGAGGGAGAAATTTAGTGTGCATTAAATAAGCATAAAGAACATAAAGAACAAGTAGGGGGCTGTATGTCTTGGGTCCTTTATTCCCCTGTAAAGCTAGGGAAAAAGTTACGTTTCTTTAACAAGACTTTGATTCTGCTAATGCAAACAATTAAACTTTCTTGAATCAATGTAATATTGGATGATAGTTAATAACTATTTAAAAGTATATTACCAAAGCCAATGATGTACTCCACCTTTTCCTTGCTCTTGCTTTGCTCGTATCTCTGCTGAAGTTACTCTGGTCACCAGATGTTGATGCTTTGTACAGAGTTTTTGGAGGAAAGCGGGATATATGCACGTAAATGTCTGCCATAAAGCAAGCTTTGTTCATTTGGATCATTTCTGGTCTTGTAGCATCTTCGAGACATTTGTCTAGGAACTGTCTTTTTTCAGTTATTCAAGATCACAAGGAAACTAGAAAAGCAAGTGAAACTCCATGATTGTAACATTCCTGGGGCGTCAGCTGTGATGGTTCTCGCTCAGCCCCGCTGTCGTGATGAAGGCTGTAGGTGTTTGGCAAACGCAATCGGGGTTTACTTGCTTGGGCTTTCTAATACGTAGCACTGCCCCCCCCCACCAGTCTGCTTTCACTGCGTAGAGCCTGGACCAAAAATGTTCATGATAAATAGATGTGGGAGTAATTAACGAGTAGAAAAATCCATATAATCCTAAAATCTGCTTCTGCCTTTTTTTACATGCAGTTTAGGTTTTTGTTGTTAGTTGTATCTACCTTTCTTTCCTTTTAGCAATGATCCCGAGAAGGGGTTCTGTATTTCTCTTACATGACAACTGGCGAAGAGTGTTCACTCTTCTCTCTTTGTTTCTGTTGCATCTTGCAATGGGAAAGTTTCTTTTTTCTCTTTCATAATTTACATGAATTTTGCTGGTTCACCTCATGGTTTTAGTTTCTTAGAAACTGCAAGTCTGGCACCTCTGAATCATTTTGGTATTATCCTTACCCTACTCCCTGCTCTGCAGTGTAATAATAGCTTTCACTTGACACAGGAAACCTACTACACTGGAACACTGCAGATGGAGCAGAAGAATAACCCACTCTCTTTTGTTAGAGCTGTGTTCCTTCTGCTCTACTCTAGTATTTTGCTTGCCTGTTTTATTGCAGTTTTTCACTGATTAGAATGTTTCAGAGATTGTCTCTAATTAGTAAAGATCCAGGCGGTAGAATTTTATTCGTCTCAAAACCCAAAAATAGTCACGTGTCATCGTCCCCCCAACCTTAGCGGTACTGTAGTATCAGTGAGACAGTAGGAAGGATCGTCTCAAACAGAAAGAAAACTAAAAATAGTATTGGTGTAAGCTTATCATATGTGGTTGAAATAAAGAATGACAGGGAATTCTGGGAATCTCTTTAATGAACAGAAGAATTAAAACATGACTGAAAACCTTTTTACAAAAGGCAGAGTCCCAGTACTTCATTAATCCATGTTCTGATAGGCTGTGCTTGATAGTACAAATATATTAAAAATCATAATTTTCATCAGTCATCAGTGAATGCTGTGGTGCACATTATTTTGATTTATATCACTTGCTTCGTATCCAAGTTGATTATTCTTACCAGAGAGGCTCAGAGGTCTTTTCCTCCACCACCCCCCGTGCCGCTGCAGTGCTTAGCCACGGAGAGACTGGGGTCTTGCCTGGAGCCATCTTACCTGCAAGGTGGAGCAGCGCTGCGTCTTCTCCTGCCAGGGTGAACGAGCTGTTGCTTTGCTGCTAAATTAAACAAAACTTCTTGCCTAGTCTTATCTTGGCGTGTTCCTGGCTGAAGCCGGGAAGTCTGCCTTTGAAGTGTGAAAAAATCTGTACGTTTATTGTGCAGTGTAAATAATATTATTGGATGGAGCAAGTGAAAGGCTGAATGGGAATCTGAAGCTGGGTCGTGTCGGTCACTGCCATCTCTCTGTATCATCTGCTTGCCTTGAAGACACAGTAGCTGACCTGTGGGAGCGCTGGGGAGCAAGCTGCTGGTGTCTGGAGCAGGTCTGTCCTGCGCATCCTGCGAGATCTTTGCTTATGTTCGGAGTGGAACAGGGGGCTGAGCTTGGCTTCTGTTTTGTCTGGCATGGACCTGGGCAGGGAGAGAAGTTGATTTAGGGAAAACCCATTCTACGTGAATCAGAGCTGCTTTTATAAGCTGTGATTTTTAGTTTAGAAGTGGTGGTACTCGACTCCTGCAGAGACTTGCTGGATGCTGAGCCCGGAGAATTGTCGTACCTTGTCTCCCAAACAGGAGGTGATCTTTAACTTTGGAAGACAATTTCTAATAGATGCAGCAGTCACAGCCCTTGGAAGATATTTTAGTTTAACTCTCTGCAAAAGTTAACCAATAGATAAAGATTTTTCACTGCTTTGTTGTGGGTATGTTTGGTTTACATCTTATGGGAAATCGTGATCTGAAGAAACTGATGGGTGCGTCATGTTTTCATGTTACAGGCACGTGATGTGCGCACCAATGAAGTGGTGGCCATCAAGAAAATGTCATATAGTGGGAAGCAGTCCAATGAGGTATGTAGAACATGTTGCTTATTAAATCTTGGCCATTGCAAATGCTTATTATATGGGATGATTTTAATTAGCTTGGGTTACAGCACTAGAGATCTTTCCTATTAACTGTAAAGGTGAATGAGGGTACTGTGTAAATGAAACAAATTAGTTTACTGTTCACAGTGTATTTCTGCCTAATCTGCACCTGGAAAAGATTGGTAGGACATAGCTTCAAGGCACAAAGGGGTCTTTGATGGAACCACATATATGTGTAGCAAGTAAAAAAGAAAACTAAAGATGGTATTTTTGTATGTTAGTATGTCTTTTTGCCCTTAAACATCCAATTTTAAATACCTTTTAAAATAACCATGTTGCTTACTGGACAAAGGAATAATAGCAATGGATGCAATAGTGAAATATTCAGAGGAAATCTTGCTCGTACAAAGTAGTAGGCAGAGTGCATCCTTCCTTGGAATGACTGTGCTAATGAGGAGCTAAAACAAAAGCAAAACAGCAGTGAATGAATGAGTGTGAAAATCTGAACAGCAGCATAATTATGGAAGAGCTGCCAGAGCTAGGGATTAAGGCAGTCTTTGCAGAGAGGTCTGTAAAAGTAGGCCTCTGAGATTTAAACATGAAGTGTTTTCATGGCCACCCCAGATGTGTGTTTTTTCCCTAGGACACTTCACAGAGATAATTGATTTTATACTTGAAATGTTTAAGTGCTAATACAGACTCTTGAAAAGCCCAACATGACATGAACAGCTGATTTGGTATTATTTCTGGTAAACGACATCTATCAAATTGTGGCATGATTTTTCAGCAGAAGTATTTATTGTAAGCCTGTTGTTCAAGGCATTTATGGTTCCCTCCCTCCATTCTCTATATTCCAGTCCTAGAAGCAGTCTTGCTCTGATGAGTTTGACGAAGAACTCATTGCTTTCTCTGCCTGCCTTTTGTGTATTGATCATCTGCGCTGCAAGGAGCTGAACTGTTCCTTCCTCTGTGTGTGTGTGTATGTAGCTGTGTAGGAGGTAGAGGTGGCAGTGTCTCTCCAGCGGTCCTGAATTCTAGCTTCATAGTTAAATTTGCTATACGTGTTTCTATTTTGTCACTGCGGTGACTTGTTTAACTGTGTACTGATGAAAGAATAATTTGTACTTACTACTTGTCCTACTGTTTTAATTACTGTGAGCTATAAATACTCTATTCACATGAATGAAACAAACTGTGCATGCCTCAGAAATAGCTTTTGTTTGTCTTCAATGCGTATGTTTCTTTATTTTGAAGAAAGTAATAAGACCAGGATTAAAACACTTTCTATTTTACTTCTGTATTTATTTGTTTTGTTCAGAAGTTTGCTAGAGTTATGATCTAGCCTATGTAAAGAAAATTGATTAAGGGCAGTCTGGTATTGTTTATATTTACTTTAGTTTCATAATAAGATCTTATAATTGCTGGGAACAATCATTCTCTAAAAATAAGGACATATTTTATTCTAAAAAGAAGTTAAAAACCTTTGAAATATGTAGTACTGTGATCTTAATGTGATCTCGGAGCTTTTTTTTTTACGCAGGAAGTCATGAATACATCTTGACTAATGTATCATCTCTCTCTTCCTAGTATGGAAGTTTAGGGTGGTGCTTTCTTGAGTTGGCTTCTGTTGCTTAGTACCTCAAAGCCTTTGAGCCTAAAGGTAAAAGGCAACTAAGTTGTTCTTGTACTGGAACGAGGATGTTGGCGAGAGAGTTTATCGTAGTGCAGCTGCACTGATGTCATTGTTGAGAAGTGCTTGGTCAGTAAGCTGCCTCGGTTGTGGCTACAGTGTTCCCTGGTTTCATTTGTTTCTCCAACTCTAAAATTTTTATTGGGTTTTGTACCAAAAAACTTTTTTTGCTTTTCGAAAGCATGTGGGTATGTGGGACCTCTGTCCACCTATGCCTCCTAGCCACACACATACGCCTGAGGAGGTGTGTGCTGAGGGATTAACAGCAGCTGGAAAACAGCTTTTGAAGCTTTTGGTGTTGGGTTAGGCTTCTCTGCGTCTGATTAACTTCGGAACTGGTAGTCTTTCTTGAAAACATTTTCATTGTCAGCACTGTTGTGTTGATGTCTGCATACTTAAATGATTTCAGCTACTGCATTTGTTTTTGAAAATCTTTTATGGAAGTTGTAGGTTTGCTGCTGCACTGACAAGCTTTTGCCTTTCTTGCCTGAGAAGGTGTGGATGTGCAGCAAATGGGAGAACCTGATGATTTCCTCCAAGGGGAGTAAAGGCAGTGTCTGAGCACACATTGGAACACAACACTTTGGCCTCTTCTGTACTTTAAAGTTGCACTGGCAGAGCTCCCCTTACTATAAACCTGGATTTTTTTATCCATTCGTTCTTCTACTCCTGCAGAACCATTACCTTATCTAGTAGGTAACTCATGTTAAATCAGTCCTAAACTAGTAATGGAGAAACATTATCAAGAATGGAGTCAGGTATTTGGTGGCTGATAAACGGAGCTTCATCCATTGTAATATAGTTACTAGTAGGGATAGGTCTTTATATCTACAAGAGTTAAGTGAGAGACAGCTGATCCTGCTGCAGGACACTTACCATCCACATCTATTTCAGTTTGGGATGTATGTTTGATTTGACAACAGAAATGGTATCCCTTGAAAAGGGATTGTTTCTTTTTTGAGGACTCGCTCAGATATTAGGTGTTTACAAGTATATCCTATGGATACGTGTAGATACCTAGTATGACATACAGCCTAATCAGTCAGCTTCTTATTTTGTAGATCTGTTGGGGAGTTAAGCAATGAACATCATGGTGTTGGTGAAAATTTATTTTGATTTGGAACCTTAAGATGGTTTTGCCTTTTAAAATAATTAAATGACGTACTAACCTAACAACAACCAAAAAAAAGGTAACAGTTTTTATAAAGTCTTTCTATTCCTTTTATTTTTACAGAAATGGCAGGATATTATTAAGGAAGTCAAGTTCCTCCAAAGAATAAAACACCCGAACAGTATAGAATACAAAGGCTGCTATTTGCGGGAGCATACAGCATGGGTAAGCATCTGCTGCACGCTACACTTCTCTTGCCATGGTTAAGGGCGCTTTAAAATACCTCTAGCTGGCTTTCAGGAGGCACCTGAGCACTTGCATTGCGCAGACCCAGATGAGAATAGCCAAGGAGATACTCAGCAAAACGGAATGTAGTTTTTGGAAAGAAGATTTAGGGAAATTCTCCCTTTCACTTGCAGAGTAAGGTGATGTGTGCTGTTGTTCTAGTGTATTTAGCTTCATGGACTGAGTATTTGAAATAAGTAATAATGGGAGAGGGAGGGGGAGGGCCACAAATTTATCCATCGCTTTTTTTGCTGTAAGGAAAGGTGAGAATTTCACTTGCACTGCCTGGGAAGCAAGTATGGCAGCTTTATTGGGTACTTGCAGGTCACTTAACAACATGTTTGGTGTGCCACTGAGGAGCAAGGTTCAGTACTTTACAGGTTGACAGTTTGTTCCATAAGTAGGTGTTCAGTTGTACTTTAACAGAATAGATTAGAAATCCTGCTGGTAATTGTACTTAAAGTATATCTTGAGTGGTGGGTATTTCTATTATTAAACTAAATTCTTCTGTTGTATAATGTTTACTTCTGTTGTCATTTTTGTGTGTGTGTGTGTTTAGGTGACAAAACCAACTAGTTGATTTTATATCTGGCTATCATCTCCTAATTAATTTAATACATTTGATTTAAACAAACCAAAAAACCGCAAACCCCCCCAACTAAATTTGGTTTATTTTATTTGGGTTTGTATGCATCAAAATGCACATGTAGGAATAGATGTGATTGGCTATGCAGAGGAAGCATGGTGCCCAGCAAAAAGTGTAATGCAGCACCTCTCATTGACAAAGTTTATGTAGCATGAGATAGTAAACAAATCATATTGTTGAACCAGTAACTTACAGTGTAAGTACTGTTCATGTGTTAGCATCAATAAATCTGTAGGACAAAGTTTTAGTTTCTGTTTTTGAAATCTGGGACAAAATCTTAAGTAAATCCTTAAATAGCCTTGTAATACTCTGATAAGCTTGTTAAGTGCAATTTAACATTCCTGTTAAGTACGTGCATATAAAATAAGATACGTAATGTAATACATAACTGGTTATGAATGTGCTTTTGCCTTCCTTACAAGTTGTGTCGCTTGGTGTCTTACACAGGAGGGCTATGCTAATGCCAGTTAGAGCTGTCCTTGTGGGAGGGGTCAGTGTGACAGTGCCAGGACGGAGCTGATGTTACAAGCAATACTTGTTTTGTTATGGCGGTCTGCATTGTACGCGCCAGTCATTGTTTCTCCACAGAAATCTAGAAAACATGCATTTACTATTGGAGATTTTCTAACAACTGTTTTGATTTCTTCCCATACAGCTTGTTATGGAATATTGTTTAGGATCAGCATCAGACTTACTAGAAGGTATGTCATGCATGCTTATTTGATTGAAAGTTAGAAGTATAGTACTGAAGTAGGAGGTTACAGCATCACAGAGTTGTCCTTGAGTATATAGTTTTATCTGGGGGCAGAATGTGCCTGAACAGTTGCAGTTTTTCAAATTCTTGCATGGCTGTAGTGGTTTTTCTGCAGAATATCGGCTTTCCTAGGTGCCTAGTTTCTCCCTGGTTCCTATTATTTTAAAGTTGTCAGTCAGCTATTTATTTTCTTCTGAGTTCTAGGTTCTCCTGTCATGGCAGTTCGAGATTTATTTCTGAAAACCCTTGCTGTTGATCTTAATGCTTACTGACAACTGTAGGCCTGTTGACTAACATAGCGCTGCAGCAGTGTTACGGTTTTGCTTGATGAGGTCTTTTGTTAAATGGTCATTTTTCTATCAGGCTTCTTGAAGTGAACTTTCTTTGAAGATATATGTGTGGCCAGTAAGTTGTTTGTCTCCTTTCCTTGCCAGAAGCATTTCAGGACAAAAGACTGAGCTGCCGGAGAGTCATCTGTGTTGCTGTAGTTTATTTATTCCTGTGTGAATTGTAGAGTTCTAGGGTTTGGGATATAGCTGCATTAATGGAAAATAGAATATGGAGTCTCAAATAGGTATTTGGGAGAAAGGTCGCAGAGCTGACAGTATGTAGTTTGTGGTTGCAGAGTAGTCTCTCTGATAGTACATAGCTACTGTTGTACAGTTAGAAGATTACGTCTGATTATAGAAGTAAAAATGAAGTTTTATTATTTTATCTCTGTTTACATTGCTAACAGTACTCAGTTACATGCTGCAAACTGCATTGTTTCTTTTAATATTGAATTTCAAATAAATTCTTTCCTTAAGTTCATAAAAAGCCATTGCAAGAAGTGGAAATAGCAGCAATTACCCATGGTGCTCTCCAGGGATTAGCATACTTGCATTCTCACAATATGATCCATAGGTAAGTGGTTATACTTCTGTTGTCTCATACACTTACAGGTAATTTACCTTGATGGTTTCATCCCCTTCATCTCAACCTTAGTATTTGTAAGCAGAGATTTTCTCTCTGCAGTGTCTGTATGCTCTCAAACTACTGATCTACAGTGGTCAGATACTAGCAAGCTGTGTATCTCCTTATGCACTGTCTCTTACAGCTGGTGTTGGTAATTTTTGCAGAACTGCTTTGAATCTGCTACGCTTTTCAATGCTTGATACGATGCTGATTGTTCCCTGAAGCAGTGAATAGCAAGGCAGGCTGAGTTCACCTGAATAGCTTGCAGCAACTGCAGTGCAAAGATTGCTGGGGCGGGCGGGAGCTCTAATACTGGAGAAATTAGTTTTACATGAGCACACATGTTGAGAAGCACACAGTAACTATGGGATGCAAACGGTCTTTGTGTTTGAAGTACCTGCTGCATTTTAGTAGGATGAGGATTTGAATAGTTACATTATTAGGAGTTTCTGAAAAACATTTAGAAATTACATAGTTGGTTCAGAAGGTTTTGCTGAACTGTGTGTGAAACTTATCCAGGTGTGCCATTTTAAGTTCATTTTCAAGACGAACTAGGTTCTAAGATCAAGTGCCATGTTAAGCTATTAACCCAAAGGGTAAAGATTTTGTATTTGGAGGAACTGAGGGTATTCTGCAGCTTGAAGATGTGAATACTGGCGTGTTTTCTAGTCAGTCCTGTAGAAGGTTTTCTTTTTTGGAGAGGAATAATACTGACATTTGTATTCTATAACCAGAGATATCAAGGCAGGAAACATCCTGCTGACAGAGCCAGGACAGGTGAAACTTGCTGACTTTGGGTCTGCTTCCATAGCATCTCCTGCCAACTCATTTGTGGGGACGCCATATTGGTAAGCCAAGAGTTTTACGCATTTCTGGCTTTGTGAAGTGAAAGGATCGTTTATTGGGTATTTAATATACTTGGGCTTTATTGGAGCTAGCTTTGTAATCTTCCAGTTGTGGTAGTGATAAAATGTGCTTTGCAAAAAAAGATTAAGTAGTAATTAGGCTCTGACTTCAGGAAATTGTGAATTCTTGTATTTGTAATTCACAAAAAGTAATGAAAATATTTTGTTGTTCTACTTACTCTGACTTTTTAGTGGTAGAGGTGGGGTTGAATAATCTGTAGTATATTTTAGTCACTCCCCTCAGTGGTTTTAACAATTCGTATGTTCTCACTGCATCTGGTTGTTGAAATAACTGAAGTATTTTTTCTTTCATAGGAAAGGCCAGGTTCATTGAACAAAACCCTTTGCAGATCCCTTGTATGCTTTTGATCTCTTACACCGAATCTGTGGTGTTTACACAACTGCATGCTTTAATTATGTCACCAGAGTTGGCCAGCCAGATAAACTATTGGAAGTGTGGGAGGGTGAGAAGGTGGTGACGCTCAGAAATGGAGAGCTGGGCAAAGCACAGGCAAACATTGCGCACCCTCTCTGTAGGCTCATGCTAGTGTGGGTGCCTGGTCTTTGTTCCCAGTATCCCATGTTCATGCCTGATACCTTGGGCAATAATTTGTTTACGGTAGCTGAAATCAGTGAAACAGCCCATTTCGGTGAAATACTGATGATGATTATGATAACGTGTTCCGTTGCCCAGAATTTTATGAGCACCAATTTCCTATTTTAGGATGGCCCCAGAAGTGATTTTAGCCATGGATGAAGGGCAGTATGATGGCAAAGTAGATGTTTGGTCTCTTGGAATTACCTGTATTGAGTTAGGTAAGTTATTTTATTTGAAAAATTATAAAATGGAGTTACTAAATATCTAGAACTTACTCAGCTGAATTGCAGTGTAGAAGATCTATGCTTGCTTCCTTGTCCTAGTTTCTCTGGGACTTGCATTTCAGAGAAAAGAGCTAAATGTGCTCTCTGGAATTCAAGATCAACTCTCCAATTTGATGTTTATTGAGCAGGTGTTTTCATGACCCAAAGAGAAAGAGTTCTATAGACAAAGAAAATAGCCAACCTGTATCACTGAAGGTGTTCGCGTTCTGTGGGAGAGGCAGTTAACTCCTGAACTGAAAAAAGGTCTACTTGCCGAACAGGTCTAGAAATGAACTATTACAAGTGCCGCTGTGAAAGTGTATGTAATGGTATAAATTGATACTGTTTGCGTGAAAATGTAAGGTATTAATGAGTTCTGCAGAAATAATGTTTGGGATAAGTGGACAGCTTCAAAGCTGTATGCGGTATATATTGTCACTCGTGAACAGATACGGCTGGAAAATCTCTTCTTAAAAAAAGAAGAAAAATATATGGAATAATCCAGTTTTGGAGTGGTAACCTATAAGCCAAAACCAAAAGAAATGATGGCATTACCATTAGAACAGACTCCTGAAAGCAGAATGTCAATTTAAAAAGGCTGTGTTAGTATGGCATTCTATTTAAATTTAACATTTAGTTTTTTCTTGAAACAAAAATACAATTGCTGAAGCAAAACACTGCGCACAGCACTACTCAGATTTTAGTCAGGATCCAGCTCTGTAGAAGCACTTAGCTGTAAGTTTTTCTTAGGATGGTGAGGTTCGGTGCTGGTGGTTGCACCTGAGGCTGTCCAGCCGTCCCCGTCAGATGTCATCGCTCGTGCTCCATACCGACCTCGGTGGAGAAGCAGCCTGGCCGGGCAGCGAGGGCTCTCAGGAACACGCTAATCCATGTGAACGGCACAGTTTAGCTAAAAATGCTGTCTGGCGTTCCAAACTGTCAACTTCGTTTTCTTCCAGGACATGAAATAGATTTTTTTCTTCAGAGCAGAGATTTTTTTGGTTGCCAATATAAAGCAAGTTGAAAGGGTGTGACTGTCATGACAGAATCCTGCTCCGAGTGGAGTAAGGAGACTTGGCCGGCTGCAGCGCTCCAGGAATGCAGTGAGCTCATGGCCACCACACCCCCGGGTGCCTTCCTGCATGCTGCCGTTCCTCAGTGTGAAGCGTTAGGCTTCGTCTACAGCTTCTAGCATGGCGGGAGGTGAGACTAGGTCAGGACAGTAGAGTGTTGTAGGCTGGGTCAGCGTGGGTATCTCATTTGCCTTGGTTTGAATAACCATGAGAAGAAGGCAGAAAAATGAGACATCTAGTAGTCTTCTCAAACTATTGCTTAATCTTAGAAATGGCCCTCGCTGAGGGCTCAGTGTCAGTGTTTCCTGAGGATTTTTATTTTATTCGGCTGAGTTAAGAGAAAAAAGGGACAACGGTCAGTTAAAGTAGTTTAATGGATAATCAGTCTGATCCTCGATAGCAGCAACTGGTTATCTGACAGATTAGAGGAGGTAAAGTGTTGCATTTGTGTAAAGGCTTAGCTCCTCGGTTTACCTGTTCTGAGGAATTTGTAGGGCTTAGTCCATCCTCTGATAGTGATGAGTTAACCAGGATCGCTGATAAGTAGTTCACTGCTATGATTCAACTCCAGATTGAAAAGCAAAATTAAAAAAAATAGGGGTTTTTTTCCCTTGGTGGCATTTTTTTCAGGAAGGAAAGTTTTCTCTTGCCTTTTCACTAGTGTAGGAATGGCCTTGTGGCCTGACCAGCTTCTCTGGAATGTTTATGGCGAGGCTAAGCTTTATAGGTTTACCCCATAAACATTCTAATGAAGCTTCGATTTTGTTGTTACAGTGAGATCATCTCCTTCCTCATTAAGCTTTCATGCTGTGTCAGTCTATAAGAGTAACACAGGCTTGAAAGAGAGCGAAGAGCCAAAGAGAATGCAACTCTCAAAATAGTATAAAGAGTTGGCCTGTTGCTGACTTCCTGCCCATGTGCTCTGTCAGTTCAGTGTGAGTCGATAGTTCTTGTAACCAGCTGCTGCTTCATCTCTGCTGGCCTGCTAGAATTAAATATTTGTTAGCTTTTTAGCAACAGTAGTTAAAAAAAAAAAAGAAAGAAAAAAAGAAAAAAGGGGAGAGGTAATAAAATGAAGAATGCTTAGTGGCTGAACACCGAGTATAGAGCTTACTGTTAGCTTACTCCTATTTTAGTATATTAAAATGAGTCAGAGAACTCAACTATGATAAACCACGTAATTTAAAAGCTCGAGAGGACAAGGCATTTGATCTTCAAAGTGCTTTCATCTTCTGCAGTGGTATAGGACATACGCCAACATATCTGTCTGATTGCAGGGTAGGGTTGGTTTGGGGTTCCATGTTCAGGCAATAGTGATTCTGCTGATGTGGTTTTCTTTTTAAAGGGATGTAAACTAAAAAAAAGAGCAAAAACATGAGACTATCTCCCTATATAAAAATTATTTTCTTTTGTGTGTAGCGGAAAGGAAGCCTCCTTTGTTTAATATGAACGCAATGAGTGCCTTATATCACATAGCGCAGAATGAATCCCCTACACTACAGTCTAATGAATGGTGAGTATTACGGAGGGAGGAATGTTGTAGGGAATTGCTCTAAATGGAGTGCTTTGTCGTGCAGAGTTCTTGAAATGGCTGGGTTCCGATTGGGAGGATCTGAGCTGGAAGGTTCTTATTAGGTTCACTGTACATTTTATATACAAAATTGACCAATTACTAAATATGCATTTTAGACTCTAGAGTGTGATAGAAACAGGACATGCTTGCTGGAAGAACGTAAGATCTTGTAAAAAATTCAGTTCAAGGGTCACTAAACTTTTGAAGCTCCCAAGCTAGCCAAAATTGTGGGTTTTAGTGTTTTTTTAATCACAAACCACACTGTCAATTCTTAAATCTTGTTTTGCTGAAGTATTGCTTTGCAAGATGAAGATACCACTCGTGCGCAGCAAGTGTCTGTTGCAGAAACTTTGGAAGAATAAAGCACAGTAGTAACGTTTTGTGCCTCCCAGCCTCAACGACTGCCTTTTGAAACAGCAAACAGTAAATTAATTTCAAAAGTTAAAAGTTTCCTAATTATTTTTTCTGAGCCATAGTCCTGGGCCTCTGGCATAACACATTATACCTTGGTTTTAGAAAATTTTTTGTACTTCTGAGATGTTTGGTTAGGCTATTTCACACCCTGGTGCTTGACAAAACATTCAACTCATTTTATGCATTTTTCTGACTAAAAAAATGCAATAATTTAGTTTACTGAAAAATTGCAATAGCAAAACCCCCCATTACATGATGGGAAGGGGGGAGTGGTGGGGGAGGAAAGAAATAAAACCTGTGCAACTGATGTGCTGCTGTTGTCAGGGTGTAATCCCGCCCTGCTGAAAATTGTGTTCAAAAGAAGAAAGGGCAAAATACAGAATTGTAGCTTATGGAGGGAGTGATATTACTAAACAAATCATGACCCTAAGTCGTAGTTGTGACAGATTGCACAGTGGTGTAGAAGTTGTGCCTGAGAGGCCAAAGGCACTGCGGGAATTGTGTGTTAATGCAGCCTGTGGATGAAACACCTGCGCACAGAGGTGGGACGGGGCAGGGGCTCTGATGAAACCTCGAAGAATTTGTGCAATACAGAATTTGACAGCGTAGATGCTCATGCTGAGATGTGTGGCTATCCGCCTTTATACAGAATTTCCCTTCAGCTTCAGTTGCCTTGTATTTTTGCATTCTTAGGCTGAAACATTTTGTCTGGAAGCAGAAGTGAAAGGTAACTACCTAGTAATAGCGGTGGGCTTTGGCTTCACTAGGGATGTCAGAGGCTGTAGTATGAAGTACTGGGTCTGTGTGGTTCCTCGCCACTCTTTCTGCTAGCAGTGCCCAAATGTGAATGTCTTGATTCTTTAATGAGGTTTGAAAATTAAACCGGGTAGTTAACTCAGATGTTTGGGGTTTTTTTTGCTTTCCTTGCCACAGGTCTGATTATTTTCGAAACTTCGTAGATTCTTGCCTCCAGAAAATTCCTCAAGACAGGCCTACATCAGAGGAGCTTCTGAAGGTTGGCTTGCTTGTCCTTTTTGTTTCCCACATGATACTGAAAAGGGGCCATGCCCTGGGACACTTGTCTGTCTCACCTACCCTACTAGGTTACAGTTGACGATGCTCTCTTTGCCCGTTATCCCGCACCCCTTTGAGCTGAGGGTGCTGTGGACTGTGCCGAGCTGGCGGTCCTGGCTTTGCTGCCCCTTGGCAGTGCCTCAGGCAGTTCCCCAGGTGACTCTCCAAGCCAGCCTTGCTCTCATCGTAAAAGGATGTCCCAGCAAGTGACACTGGATGACCACCAGCTTGTTGAGAGTTTCGGTTTCTTAAGCTCGGTCTATCCTTCCAGTGATTATAATTAATCCTGACAGAGCTGCCATGCATTAGTTAACAAATACCTTTCATTACTTCCCTCTTTATGCTGTGTATACCCCTAAAGGCTTTTTATTCTCTCCCATCACCTATGCGCTTTGCACGTAGAACTGCTGCTTTATTTCTTAGCCTTTTTTTTTAGTTCATTTGTGCTCCTGTATGCTGCAGACACTTGATTTTCCTTGCCCTAGTCTGGAAACAGAGCTAATGTGGTAGATTGTTGAAAAAAGCTGACACGTTCCTAAGTGAACGCGACTCGTATAGAAGTTAGGTGTTAGCTCCTTTATTGCAAGTGTGACTTTGATGGATTTGCTTTGTGGCATCAGGTGGCATTCAGAATTTTGCTAACTTGTCATTCTCTTTACAGTGTTCATGACATTGTTTTGGGGGATTTTTATCCAGGCCATGTTTGTGCTAAACAGCGATTTTTCCAAAATTTTGCATTACTGGGAAATGGATGCTATTTATGAAGGTTTTATCATCACCTTTTTGCATGTTTTTACTTAAATGTTTCTGAGGACTTCTGCCTCTTCAGAAACTGTGTATTCAGAAAGTAAATGCAATTATCCAGTAAAGGTTTTGGTGTGGGTGTGTAGTCCTGCCATTTCAGAATTCTGCAGATTGGTTTTATTTTGAGCAATGCACTGCAATTTAAGAGAACATTGATGGAAATTAAACGTTTGTGAATGTATTCCCTCCGTATCTATAGTCTGAAACAGCTGCATGCCACTTTACAGGGACAGGTAGGGAATGTGACACGTTGGAAATGGCAATGCAGTTCTCCAAAGGAACAAAATGAAACTAGCGGTAGTGTTAATAATGACTCATGCTTGCACAGCACATTTCATCTGGAGACTGCAAAAGCTGCTTCTGACATACATAGACAGGACTTCTTTTACCTATTGTCAAAATGTAGCCACCTTTGCAGTGAAATGCACTGAATGTTTCCAATAAAAGAGCATAACATGGCTGACTGTTCTAGGGCCGGGCTTGAAGGTTCACAGCCTTTTTTTATGACGCAGAGCTGTATGCCGAGTACATGACTTGAGCTTTTCTAAACACAGAAAAGGGTTTTATAGTGAGAGTTAGCTGATGAGTTAATTAACATTTGGTTAGAGATACTTAACCAGTCCAACACCTTCAGCGTATATTTGGCATTTGTTGCTCTTCCCCCTCCAAACCACAAGCAGATAACGTCTGTAGATACCCCAACATCCAAAGAAGTCTAGGTTTAAACTGAGTCCATTTTCATGGTATGTGAAATACCATTTCTGGTTTTTTTACATCTTTGCTTTTTGGTGGATGTCTCCCATCAGAAAGCAATAATTCTGAAATCTATCTGGATCGTGAAGTCTAAAAATAGTGCCAGTGTAAGCTGTGAAGCTGTTCTCCCCTGTGCGCAGAAGAGGGCTGACAAACCCAACTAGAGCTCATCATTGTATCATCAAAGCACGTGCGCTGGAGGCATAAGAGGTCACTCACCTGTTTGTGTGTTCTACAGCACATGTTTGTTCTTCGGGAGCGGCCCGAAACAGTGTTAATAGACTTGATTCAGAGAACAAAGGATGCAGTGAGAGAACTGGACAACCTGCAGTATCGTAAAATGAAGAAGCTCCTCTTCCAGGAGGCGCACAATGGCCCTGCGGTCGAAACACAGGAGGAGGAAGAGGTGAGAGAAGCTTTGGGTTTCACCACTGAACCAGAGAACGATGCTGTCATTTAAATAACCACAACTCAGATATTGCTAAAACGAATGGAGGTTGTTTACACACCTGGCTGCAAACTCTTGACTTCCTCTCAGTGCTTGGAATAAAGCTACCTCAAGACACAAACAAGGACAAAGAGGGTAGATGCCTAGTGCTGGCAAGAAGCTGTGCCATGTGTTCACGCTTGAAGAGTTAGCTTCCCGTTCTGTAAATCCTAACTTTCTTTGCCTGTTCATAAGGCTTTCAGCAAGTGCAATTTATCTCTATTTTGACCGTATGTACAAGGCCCTTGAGAGTCTTCTAGTTTTGTCTGGAGAATGTAGTCTAAGACGTAGAAATTTGTAGTTGGGTCTTTTAAAAAAACCAAAGTCAGCAGGGAAGTTCATTTGTCTTTTTTGGGTTGCAGGCTGCAATCACCATGCAGAAATTGAGACTCTCTGGATTGCAGTTCTCTCATGTACAGAAGGGAACCGCGCGAGGTGCAGGGTCCCAGCTGAGCACTTAGATGATGCTGGCGTCAGAACAGTTTCTGGTGACACGCTGTTGCTGAGACATGATAGAGTTCAGCTTGTTAACAGGCTCACTGTTGAAAAGAATCTGACATCAGCCAGTTGATCTTGACAAGGTTGATTCTTTCTCTCCCTGGCATCCCACAAGAGAAATGTTTCATGGCAATGCCTGCAGGGTGGGAACTGCCATGACGTGGCAGGTAGATGTCTTTAGAAAGGAATGGAATGAACATTTCAATTGGTAGTGTCCGTAGATACGACTGTGATGGATTTGGATTTTCTTAATAATTCCTTTCTCCTAGGAACAAGATCATGGTGTCGGCAGGACAGGAACAGTGAATAGTGTCGGAAGTAATCAGTCCATTCCTAGTATGTCTATCAGTGCCAGTAGCCAAAGCAGTAGTGTTAACAGTCTTCCAGATGCCTCGGATGATAAGAGCGAGCTGGATATGATGGAGGGGGACCACACCGTGATGTCAAATAGCTCCGTCATTCACTTAAAGCCGGTAAGCATTGGATTTTACTGGATAGATTTGTTTGGCATGATGACAAAAAGTCAGGTGCTTCCTATTCTAAATCATTGTCTGCAGGTTCTAATATTGTGTCCCGATATATTAATGTGCACTGGAAGGTTGCTGTAAAATCATTTATTTCTGTTGTTTCACTAAAAATTATTTTACTAATTGCATTGTTTTGAACCTGTTGTGCTTTACTGTGAGGAGTTGGAAAGGTAGCTTGTGAGTAGCTTTATTTAGTGGATGCCCTTAACTTGCAGAGCACTGCTTCACTGGTCAAAAGGGTGTGAGAATTCCCCCTTTTTACCTCCTAGTTAATGAATTCATAGATACAAGACCCTCAGTAGTGATTGGTCTGTTCCTGAAGCACCCAGCTTCCCAGCACTTGCTTCGAACATTTAGTTGATGAACAAAGATGCACAGCAAAAGAAACGCAGCACTCTGGCCATGGCAGGCTGTGAAACCGCTCCCCCTGCTTTAGCCCTGAACGATGAAGGATAAACTGGGGAGCGTCTCTCTGAACCGTGCTGCTCTTGCTACGGAGGGCTTATCACACCTTTTCTCAAACCAGTAACGTTCCCTAGCTAATGATAGGTGTGGTTAGAATGTTTTGTTCTTTGCCCAGATATGCAACAAAGACGCAGGTATTTCCTCGGGGAGTTAATTAGTATATCACATCTAACTACTAATCGTTCTGTGATGAATGACAAACTCAAAATAAGAATGTGGAATACACCATGACAAATTTTAAAATTTGCTTTGAGGTATTTCTGTAGTGGGTGTAATGAAAATCTTCCTCTGTCTTTTAGGGTTAGAACGATGTTCGTTTTTTCTTTCACACTTCATGTAATCTATAGCTTTTATGTTTTGCTGAAGTGAACTGTTTAACTCTGTTTTCAGTTTTCCATTTATTTTTCTGATTTTCAGCTTTAATTAGTAATTTTCCGTATAACAATAAAAATGCACAACGAAATTTCCAAAAGCAAAGATCCTAGATCAGAGCTCTTGTTGCAGTATATTCCTTCGTCCAGCTTATTGGCAGGAGGAGCTTTCAGGGCTCTGAATATGAAATGGTTTTTCTTCCTTTTAAACGTCTTTTGAACCAGACCAAAATAAAAATCTTTGGTAACACAGTTTCTCTTTGTTCTCACGTGTTAATATTTGCTGATAAGGAGGAAGAAAACTACAGAGAGGAATCAGATCCTCGAACACGGGTGTCAGAACCCCAGTCTCCTCCCCAAGTATCTCGCCACAAGTCTCATTATCGCAACCGAGAGCACTTTGCTACTATACGCACAGCATCACTGGTATGTTGAGGTTTTTATTTTGATGAAGTTGTGTAGGGAGGGATGCCTTTGAACACGGGGCCATGAAACTACTTAGAGCTGTTAGGATTTCATCAGAACGTGAGCTGCCCTCGTTGACGGAGATATTATCACTGAAATAGTTTAACGTAAGTTAATAAAAGCTTAAATGCAACACCTGGGCAAATGTCATTTGTGTATATTATGTATTTTCAAAACCAGTATGCCTAACAGAATGCAGGAAGCTGTTTATAATAAAAAGCTGCCTTTTATTTTCATACGCATATTATGTATATTTGTGTGTGTATGCGTGTGTATATGCATAGTCATTATAGTGGGCTGAAAAGACATTAGTTAGTACCAGCTTTATAACAGTTCTACAGTTTGGAGCCCATGTGAGCTTGTCTTCTACAGCAGAATTCAGTTTTTAATCTGCTCTGCTGCCATTAGGATGTGTGCTTTTCTTTACAAGAAAATCATATTTCTTTACTGAGTAGTTTTCTTGTGTGGTTTGAAGACTGCCAAAAAGCAGATTAAGAAGCATTAACTTACTTTGGCCTGATGTGGTTACCTTCCTAGGTGACAAGGCAAATGCAGGAGCATGAGCAAGACTCTGAACTCCGAGAGCAGATGTCTGGCTATAAACGTATGAGACGGCAACACCAGAAGCAACTGATGGCATTAGAGAATAAACTGAAGGCAGAGATGGATGAGCATCGCCTCAGGTTGGACAAAGATCTTGAAACACAGCGTAACAATTTTGCTGCAGAAATGGAAAAGCTAATTAAAAAGCACCAAGCAGCCATGGAAAAAGAGGTAGGAGATCATGGTTTAGCAGACCAGTCTGTATTTGTGAATTACATTGAATTGTCCACTTCCCCTCACTGATGGAGAGATGACATTGTAGTCTCTTACATGTCTGTTTTCAGGAGCCAAGCAAATTGCTAATTAGAAAAAGGCTAATACATCATCTCCTTACACTAAGGGGTTTATGTAACTAGAGGAAAGGTATGTCCTTCATCACAGTGCGTTATACTAAATGTTAGTGTACTGACCCCAGCAAAAATACTGTAAGGGTTTTCCTTTCTTTTGCCATGTATATGCTATCAATAACTAACTGCCATCAAGTGTTACGGAGGCAGATTAGCCTGCAGAGAAATGTGCCAGCTACGCTTAAATGTTCACCATCTAGTTGCTTATGGATATGGGGGTTTTTATGCTTTTAAATAATTGATAATGAAGTGGTGCCGCCTACAGCAATTATTATTGATTCTTTGTTCATCTTGGATCTGTCGGTAGAGGGCTAAGCATACAGTTTATCATAAGGTGTTGATTTTGTTAGGCAAGACTAGCTGAACAATAGGGCTGAGGAAATAAGGCACTGACAGAGGACTCCTGCTGGGTGCCTTGATGGGGGGTGGAATGAGAAGAGGGTGAGGGCAAGCTCCTGAGATGTGCTTATTCAGAGTCATGGTGAGTATCGTGGTGACTGTACCATGAGTTCCAGGTCTTGGGGCTGAAATGGAGCATGTGCTGTAATCCATCGGGACTCACACTGATTTGCTGCTGGATTTGCTGTAGGCTAAAGTGATGGCCAACGAAGAAAAGAAGTTTCAACAGCATATTCAGGCCCAACAGAAAAAAGAATTGAACAGTTTCCTGGAGTCCCAGAAGAGAGAATATAAACTCCGTAAAGAGCAGCTGAAAGAGGTAACTCATCTGTCATAAAAAATGTGAATATAGTACAGTGTACGATACACTCAGAAAGTGCCACTGCACACAAGAGATCTTTCACTGGATTGCAGCAAATTGAAGAGTCCTCTACCTACTGTATTTGTTTTGTATCTTTAACCTTAGAGTAAGAGAGTTTATTTTTATATTGGCACCTATATGTTTATCTTGTGAAAGTACAAACTTCTCCATTGTTTAATATTACTTTTTATCCAGAAACATGGATATTTGGCAATCCTAAGGAATGATAAAAGGTAGTTTGAGACAGGTCGTGAGTATTTTTCTCATACCTTGTTGCTGCAGATATTGACCATCCACTGCAGCAGTTAGTGAAGTTTCTTATGACTTAAATGATATTTCTGTAGCAGCAGCAAGAAAACAGAGTGGTACAGATGACCTGCAGACCTTTTTTTAAGCAAAATATCTGTAAAATGCTATTTTATTTTAATGGAGAAAGCTGTTTAATAATTTAATAGTCACTGTATTGTAGTGAGAATCATGACCTTTGTGAAATGCAGAGAAACTGTAGACTCAAACTTCCTAATTCTTTTTGTGGAGTGGCTGAAACCATAAGCACTATAAATACTTTTTTTGAAAGAACCATTTAGTGCTCAGCCATCAACTTGTGTGACGCAACTTTGGAACGTGCTCCAAAGGGGAATATTCCCAAACATAGACATTTCCCAGGAGAAAAAAAAGGCTAAAGTGCAGCAGAGCCAAGAAAGATCTAACAAAAACCATAGTAGCGTGGGCTCTTTATAACAACATAGAATCTTTTGCTAAGTGGGCAGTAGATCACAGAGGACCCAGAAGCACTGATGAAATACAGAGGAGTTCTGTCTCGTACTTAAATTGAAATGTATCACGACAAGTCTAGTTACTGTATGGGCATCTCTAGTATGCCATTCAAGCAAGCAGAATCTTTTGCCAAAGATGCTTCAAGCTATGTATTTAATTTAATACAAATGTGGAAACTGTGGCCTGAAGTTTCACCTATGAACTGCTTTGTATTGTTTTTGTAACTCACTCGTGAGTGGCTCTGCCTTGACGAGTTACTTATAAAATGTGTATGTGTTCCGATCAAGCAAGACACGGAATTTTCTAATGTGCTTTGTGTGGCTGGAGTTTTGTTTGAACAACAGGATGACAGTGCTTTCCTTCTCCTCTCAGTCCTTTGGGACCCTGTAAAAACTGTTGTCAGGCAGCACGGCAGGACCTCCAAGTGTCTTTGTTTTCAGCGGCAAACCATTATTTTTAGTTTTGGAGCTAATCCGTGTGTCTGGAAACCATGGACGTGAACTAGCATTTTGGCTAGTTGAAACGGCCAATGCGAAAAAAAGTTGTAGTTAAGTTTGCTCCTCTGGAATTGTCTCCTGATTGTCCCTTAGCTGTGCGATGTGATCCATTTTGCAGAGGCTGGGATGGTACCAGCCGTGAGAAGACAACATGGAACAGCTTTGAAATGTAGTTTATTAGGCAGGTCCATCCAGTTGTTCAGGCCAAGGAGCTTCATGTGACTATTCCACGATTAATTACCTTGCTGTTATCAGGAGCTGAATGAAAACCAGAGCACTCCAAAGAAGGAGAAGCAAGAATGGCTCTCCAAGCAGAAGGAGAACATCCAGCATTTCCAGGCAGAGGAAGAAGCCAACTTACTGAGGCGTCAGAGGCAGTACTTGGAACTGGAGTGTCGCCGCTTTAAGAGACGGATGCTCCTTGGCCGCCATAACCTGGAGCAGGATCTGGTTCGGGAGGTAAGAGAACAGGCAGAGGTGAGACCTGGGACAACCTTCATGAAATGGATCTCACAGGAGTACCTACAATCCAACTCTGCTCTCACTGAAGTTTTAATGACCATATGTAAAGTTTTTTGGTATAATAATGGTTCGATGTGTTTTGCAACACCATCTGGTAACTCCCATGGCATTTAGGTGGTCATGCGGAATCAGATGTTCAGATGAGTGCCCTGTGGTTAGATCCAAAAAGTTAAGACACAACAGTTACAGTCCTTTCCAGAAAATGCTTACTGTGAATCCTGTTGAGCATCTAGAACAGGAAGAAGAAAAGTGAAATGAGGAAGGAAAAATTACTTGTGGTGGTGCTGTCTGCTTCTGATAAGATGTAGAAACTCTCTGCTCTGTCCTCAAATGCCTTGGAAAGAGAGAAGTGCCCTTGTGAACAAAGTGAAATGTCACGTTGTGAACGGAAATCCAAGTAAGTACAAAGAATCTAATATTTCCCTCTGTCCTCCTGTTAGGAGTTAAACAAAAGGCAGACACAGAAGGACCTGGAGCACGCCATGCTGCTGCGTCAGCATGAGTCCATGCAGGAGCTGGAGTTCCGCCATCTCAGTACCATCCAGAAGATGCGCTGTGAGCTGATCCGACTCCAGCACCAGACCGAGCTCACCAACCAGCTGGAATACAACAAGCGCCGGGAGCGGGAGCTGAGGCGTAAGCACGTCATGGAGGTCCGGCAGCAGCCCAAGAGCCTGAAGGTAGGAAATGATGTAGGAGCTCTGGGTGCGAGCTGCTGGTGGTGGTGGAAAAGTGGTACATTACAGCTCAGATCTCATCTGCAGTGTATGCAGGTCCGAGGTATTTTGAAGCTCGTTACTTTGAAGAGGTGTCTCATTCTGTAATGAATGCCTTTTTAAAAAAGTGTTGTATTTGTCAAGTTGTGTAACTGCCAGGGTGCAACTGCAGCCCTAAAAGCACCATACGTACGAACCATAGCAGTGGTGATCAGGGTTGCAGTGTATTGTGGGCAGGCCGTAGCAGCACTATTCCCTCATTTTGTTTGAAAAGCTATTGTTCTCAGCAACATCCCTTCCTCTTTGTGGTAGTTTAAAATGCATTTAGTCTTTGGAGTGCCCTTTTTTCCCCCCCTCTTCCTCCTGTACCGTTTCCTGATCCTCTTCTCCCCCTGTATACAAGAATAAAACCCGTTTTTCTGTAATGAAGCAGTGTCATTTAAAAAAAAACAACAAAAGCTTTGCGTTGCTGTGTGTATCGGAATAAACTGGACTATTGGTCTTGGCTAGCTCGCCTTGTTATTGTTTTTATATTAAGGCTGGTGTGCTAGCAAGTGTAGGGGGAAGAGACAGAGATACCCGCCAGCTGCAGTGTCCCTGGGAAGCTCCTAGCACTGACCTTTGCTGTGCTGTGCCCTCATGGGTTTCTCGTGCTGCCCTTGTAACTGCAGTGGCTGACCAGAGCTACAGGGCCTCTGTAATTGAGGCTCTTGGTGTTTTCATGGTAAGCCTTCACTTCATCCAAAGAAGTCCAGTGGTTTATTCTGAAGTAAGTGTCTGAGAAGGGAGTGTAAGGCCTTTCACAAAGCTGCCTGGTGCGTTTCCTTTGAGGAGACAGACTACTTCACCCAGTGTTCAGCTGTGCCAGTAACCAGATGAGTGTACGGCATACTGAGCATGGGGTTTCTTTGTTGTTCTAGGTCTTGCCGCTTCGTGGTATTTCCCATCTGACTTAGTTTTCACCATCTGCAAGTTACCTTCTTACAGAGAAAATAACAAACTTGAAAATAGAACTTCAGCAAGTAAATACCTGATTTGTCAATATTAGAATAATATTAAATAGTGAAAACCTAGCTTGTGAGAACAAGGGACCGTCTGATCGCTGCTGAGAATCTCCAAGGATATAGTGTATAAATAGCTGATGACTTCACAGGGAAGCTGCACTGCACTCTGAGCTGAATAAAACTGAAGCAGCTGTATTAGGTTGATCCTTCTGAGATTAGCGTGAATGAGTTCTGCCTCCCCAAGGTGATGCGGTGCGAACACGAGTGAGCAGCTTGGTCGTTCCCGTTCCTTGGCTGGCAGGCGGGACAGCGGGATCGGCAGTCTCTCTGGGCTGCAGAGGCTTGGCTGCCCTCTCGTCTCTGCAGACTCTTCAACCCCTTCCCTTTTCTAGCAAGGACAGGGCCGGAGCGTTTTGCGGGGAGCAGGGAAAGCTTGCACTTTGCTTTGCGTGGCTGTTCTGCGATTAGTGAAGGATTTCAGGCTTGAGCTGTCAGTCCAGCACCTTGTGCGTACACACAGTGCTAATAATGCAGCCTGCTGGACAACCGTGCAGTCTAGTACAATCCCCTCTTTATCAAGGCTGTTCTCTAGTATTAACTCCTTCCCTTGCTTCTGACTAATGCAGGCGAGTATTAATTGAATATATCATGTGACTATTTGTTCGGTTTCTCTCTCCAGCAACGTTTTCCCTCAAGGGCACATGTTTCAGGCTTTCCCGTTGTTATTTAGTGAGGTCCTTTGTCCTGAAAGCAGGTTTTTAACGGTCAGTGTCTGTTGCTGCTATTACAGCACCAGAAGGACCGATAACTAGAATTCACCCTTTAGTGAAAACTGCCTTGTTATTATATCGAGTGTGTTAATTGTGATGCAAATACCCTCTTGCTGGTATTTCACAATACTAGGTCAAAATGATCTTGTCAGAAGTCTGACTGGAAATCTTACCCCTCCCTTCTGTTTCCTGTTGTTAAAGACTTTGGGTTGGAAGCCCGTAAACAGAGCCTGGTGTCCAAGCGAAACTTCACAGAAAGTGAGGACAAAATAGGTTGCTAGTGTTTTGCTGTGACCAGGTCCCTGACAGGAATGTGTAACCTGCTGACACTGCCCTCAGGGGCAGGGAGAAACAGCCTTAAAGGTTTCCTGGAGGGGAATAATTTCCTGTGCATTTAGAAAGGGTACAAGCGATGTAATTCCTCTCTGTGATGTAGGTTTTGGTTTGAATGAAATCCATCTTTGTACTGCTTTTTGTGTCAGATTAGCAAAGTGGAATTGTTGATTTATGCATTTAGGTACGTTTTCAAGCATCTAATCTGTCTCAGACATTTCTTAGTATCTTTATGTCTAAATTGGGCTGGATATATTGTCTGATCCCACTGCACCTTTCTAGGTAGCTACAAGTGCTGCGCTGGTCACCTACCCTGCTGAGCCTTGAGCTAGTGCCAGGAGCAGTCAGTGGACAGCTGACAGGAGACATGCACGTATATCTGCCTTGCTAGTTCAGATCCCAGAGCTCTTCCAACTTATTCAAAGGACAAGAATCTGTTCCTATGCTCTGTTCCAGCCCCCAGTGCTTCAGGATTTGACCATGGTGGCTGACAGTTGGGATGGCCAAGAGTGTGCGCTGACTGCCCTGATATGTGGGTTTAGGGGTTGGTTGGTTTGATTTTTCTTACCGTGGCAGTTAGTTAGGTTTTTCTTATCTGTCAGTTAACCACCATCACTCATCACTTCTGGGTTTTGCTTAGTTAGAAGTATCCCTGCCTGCCAGCCTTCCTGTAGAAAGATACAGGGAACTCCCGAACGCCTTCCTTTTCAGGGTCTTAAAACACTTAGTGGCTGTTAACCCTCACAAGCTGCTCTGGGGGCAGGTAAGGCAGGTGAAAGAAAAAAATAATTAATTTCCTCAAGGTCATACCGCAAAATCAGATCCAGATACCTTTTCCAGGATTGATGTCTCCCAGCCCTTTGTGCAATCACAAAGTTATGTTGCTAAACAATACAGAGGTGCTAGCAAAGTGCAAAGGGAAAACTCAGTCTCCAGTAAGCCTCCATTGGGACTGGGGAATTATTTCGTTTGCTGGACTAGCGCAATACTAATGTTGCTTGTGGTGTACGTTTTTGAGAGTCTAATCTTTCCTACGCATTTTGAGAAGCTCTTAATATCAAGGGTTAGAATACATCTTATCTTCATCAAACCCTCCATGCTCTTTTTCCCTGTCCCTTCCCATGCACCAGATCTGCTTCTTTTCATAACATTAAGTGCTGTTCATATATATGTGCCATACAAGCACAGTCATGTGTAAATATGGCTTTTGGTGCTAATAAATATTAGTCCTGTCCCTCAAGAACTTTTCTTGAAAAGCAACACCCAGGACTGGATCCAGTCCAGTGGCAAATGTGAGGCTCTTTGTGCAGAGACAGCTGTATTTAGGCTGGAGCTTTGTTATAAAAGTCTCTGTATTGTAATTGTTTCGCGCAGTAGCAGTGTCAAAGCAGCTGCAGCAATAGTCATTGCCTCTTGTGTATTTTGCTTTCCTTCTTGCACTGTAGATGTTAATATACATTTGTGGATTCTTGAACTCATATCCTTAATGTAATCCTAAATATCCATTTGAATGGATATTTCTCTCATTTGAAACAGGCTGTTTTTTTCTTTGTTTGTGTCCCCTCCATCTTTCCAGTCAAAAGAACTTCAGATAAAGAAGCAGTTTCAGGATACATGCAAGATCCAAACCAGACAGTATAAAGCACTGAGAAACCATCTGCTGGAGACCACGCCAAAGAGTGAACATAAAGCTGTCCTCAAACGGCTCAAGGAGGAGCAGACCCGGAAGCTGGCTATCCTGGCTGAGCAGTATGATCACAGCATTAATGAAATGCTCTCTACACAAGCTGTGAGTCGCCTCCGAGGGACCCAGGGTTCCTCAGCCAAAAAGGGATGTTTGCATTTGAACCAATCTGTATCCTGACAGCAGGCTGTCTGCTTCCTTGCTACGCACCATACCCAGCACAGTCATTCCTCTGTATTTCAAAAGCAGCATTCAAATGCAGAGGGAAGAGGTATCACCCCCTTTAGGCAGGTTGAAGTTAAAGCTGCTGTTGCAGAGATGCAAAGTGCTGCATCTTTGTGGCCAGAGGATTGCTATTGCATGAAGTCTGACAACATAAACACAGCATCACTAAATAATGTGCAGCTTGCTGTCTTATGTCATTTAGGTTTTAGTTTGTCAATGATCCAACCAAAGCATATCCCGCTGGTGGAAGATGCTCATTGAGTCATGGAAGAGTTCAGAGTTTTGACTGTAAATCTGAAATAATGTTAAAAGTATTGTGAAAGTTCAGTAAACTCTTCTTTAAGGGATTCCTTCTCTAAGGAGTGACCACATGAGCAATGCTTTAGAGCCCTTGCTACAACTGAATGTGCAATTCTCTTTGCACTGCTTGTGTATTGTGTCCTGCTCACATCACTCTGTACAAATTTGACACTGTGAGGCAGGGTAGCTGGCTTAGTTTACGTATTGGAAGATTAAAAGTTCAGTACCATATTGCTTTTAGGTTTATGTCATTATATTCTTTCACACAAAGTCCTGCATTGGCAGAGAGATGGACTTCAGTCTCCTGCATACGGGTAATTGGTAGAGCAAGAGATCCTCTGCTTGCCTCTAGCAAAAGGAGAGCTGTGGCTGTTAGCACCTCCAGCAGTCTGGTCTCTGCAGTATGGATCGTGGTTCCTGAGGCACCACTGCTCATCAGCATCACTCGCATCAGCACTGTGGGCTCACTGTCACCGGTCTTTGTCACTATAGGTCCTCTGTTCAGTGAAATGAAGTACAATAGAGACCAATTGTATTGCTGAGAAAACAAAGTCCCATCCCATTCTCTCCCCGTCCTCGCAGTCCTCCTCCGGAGTGTCGTGAGTGGTTGCCCCATAGTGAAACGTCTCTATTGTCTGTCTTTCCCAGCTGCGCTTGGATGAAGCACAGGAAGCAGAGTGCCAGGTTTTGAAGATGCAGCTGCAGCAAGAATTGGAGCTGCTGAATGCATATCAGAGTAAAATCAAGATGCAGGCAGAAGCCCAGCATGATCGGGAGCTGCGTGATCTTGAACAGAGGGTATCCCTCCGTCGGGCCCTCCTTGAGCAGAAGGTAAAATGGGCATTAGTGCAATCTGTGTCTCAGATCTTAAATTGCATTGTACTTATCAATAGAGAGAGTAATTGCTTTTACCTTGCTGTATATAGTAACACAGATCATTTGGGTATTTGCCTTTCTGGGATGATAGCTCAGTGACACACAGGCTAAACTTTCTGCCAGCTCAGCCATCCAATGTGAGCAGCTTCTGGCTCGGATAGAGCCGCTTGAAGCGTGCCAGAGGGAGTCGTGCCTCTGTGGGCAGAAGGGAAAGTGAACTGTTCTTTCTGTCTCTTAGCTGCAGATTAGCTTCCCAGCTCATTAGAGGACAGACAATAACAACCTAAAGCTAGGGGGTTTTTGAAGTTTGCATGGTATCAGCAGTAGGTATCTTGGGTGGGGGGGTAAGATGTATTTGAGACCCTGTGTTTTGTGATAATACTATTTTACTGCAGCTCTGCTCCGTTTGTCAGTCTGTGGAGACCAGGCTGCAGTTTCCCTATGAAATTATGCTTGTTACGGAACTGCTGCTGTCTGCAGCATTTCCCTAAGCAAACCGAAGTAGCCAGACCCACAGGCATGGGTGACCTGCTGCTCCCTAGACTTTGTCTTGTAATTGGCTGTGTGTGTTAAGGTGCTCCTTGCTGAAGTATGCCTTTCCGTGCAGTGCTAGACACGTGGTGGGTACAGAAATGTGTGTGTGGCCTGCACAAACCAGGGGAAGGGCAATGCACCGGTCAGTGAAAGGAAATACTCAGTCAGCCTTCTTCCTGCAAAGTTTTTTCCCCTTTGATTTGCCCTGTGGGTGCCAGCCATCACCATTCACGCCACAGTTCCCAACTTTGCTGATCAGCGATTATTAGATTAGAGCAATTACTCTGTGGCCTCGAGGCTCTTCACACTTAACTTCTTCCAGAGGCTGACAGATGGATGCTGGGCTGCTGGAGGGCCCTCGTCGGAATAAAACTGCTCCACCTCACGGTCAGCCGAGGAAGCATCTCCGAGAAGACAATACAGGCCTTTAGTGCTTTGGCCTCCTGCAAGTAGGCTTGAATCCCTGGAAGTAATTGAATTCGTGAAAACAGAGCTCCCGTGAGGCACTCACGTGTGTAATAGCTGTCTTTAGACCCCATCGCTAGTTGGTTTGCTCAGGTTCAGAAGAGGACAGGCCGCGTCACAGCCCTGCGTTTGAGCGTGTGTTCGTGCCGGGTGTGCATTGCCCTCTGCCGGCATCACCCGAGGGGAGCTCTGGGGAGAGGTGTGCCACAGCCAGCCGGCCACTGGCCACTGCTCCTTCTCTGGGGCAGCAGCACATCCTGCGCTGCTGTGGTGTTACGTTAAAAGTTGAAGTGAGGCCAGTGACTGAAGGAGACACACATCAATCAATAATGGTGTCAGATCAGTCTAAATAAGTGTGTGGACCAGGATTGAAGTCTGTGTGCATAGAAAGCCCCTGTGAAGCACTGGGCATCAGTAATGGGGATAGGAAGCTTAGCAATGCTATGTCATAGGGAAAAAAAAAAATTAAGACCTAGCATAATTTTTCTCTGTGTGTTTGTGTGCCCTGTGTGCCCCTGTGTGACTACTGCATGAGAATAGCAAAAGATTGGATGGTCCTTTGGTTTCCATAGGTGGGAGCCTTTAGCAATACACGCAGTGCTAGCACATTGCAGGTCACAAAGTCATGGACCAGCAATGAGACCGCTTCTTGCTGGGGTTACAGTCACTTAGCGGCAGCTCAAAGGAAAATACGTGGGTGCAGAGGTAGGTGCATCCTCCTTTTGCAAGGGGACAGAGTGGTGTTCTTGTTTTGTAAGAATTAAGAGTTGCACTTATTCTGGTGTGGTGTGCTCAGCGATGTCACCTGGTGTTTGCTTGCCTGTGCTAACCAAAACTGGCAGCCAGAGGTACGTGCCGAAGATGAATGTTTGAATTCATGCACACAAATAGATACATAGCCCGTGGCAAAGTGAGTCCCTGATGTTCAGTAATAACCCAGATTCCAGAAGTTAAGGTGTGCATAGGACTCCGCTTCCTTCTCAGCACAGTGCTCTTGATTTTTGATGGTGCCCATCACCATGGTAACTCACCAGAGCATACATGTCTGTCTGAGGCTAAGGAGGGAGCAGCCAGCCCCATCCATGCGCAGCCTTGAAGTGCCAGTGACTGAGGCGCTGTACAAGCTATACCCTGGTGCTATGTTTTTGTGTTGCACCAGTAACGAGCACATCCCAAGACTGGCTTTAAAAGACTTCAAATTTGCTCATTTCCTTCCACATGTCTCAGACACCTCATCTTCAGAGTTCTGCATCCTGAGGTTGTTTCTAAGCGATGTCATTTTAATGCGGTGGGTTAGGTGTACCTTTCTGTGAAGTTCAGTTGCACCAAGTCCGGTGCATTGCCCCATCACAAAGACTGAAAACTGTGAGCAGCTGGACATGCTGAAGACACTGTAACTTTGAAAAAGGAAGAGGAGGATTCTGCTTAGATAGCAGGACTGGAAAAAACAAGTTTTTTAAAGCATTTTAAAGAGCTAATGTTAGAGAAGGCATCTGAGCAAGGCTGCTCTGTGGAGAGAGTCACTGTCACTCACCTAGCGCTAAGAAACAGGCAAGTGGAGAAGGCAGCTTCTGAAAGCCCCAAATGGCTCAGGAGATGACTCACGCTGGAGCAGATTGTTTCCTAAATTCCAGATGAAATCACTTTGCATATTCCCTGACTAAGGCGAGAGAGTGCTTACAAGTACAATGCTCTGCCCGGTACCTTCAGCACAGACCAAGATAACACCTCTTGGCCACGTTGCTGCTGACAGCAGGGGAGATGCCAGTGAGCTATGCTAGAAGTCTTGGCTGCTGCTTTTTACCCATTTGGTCTTTTTCACCGAGGCCAAAAGTAGCTTTTTCACTGTTGGCAAGAAGATAATGGCGTGATTCTTTGGTTCTCCACCTGACTGCAAAGCTTTCAATAAGAAAGGCGTTCATCCCTGTCTGATGGGTGTCAGGAGGCCGTAGCCCCGTGTTTTCTGTATTTAGAGAGCTGGTCTCAGTGCCCCTACCAAAGTGCCATTGGAAACCGTTTTGGAACAGTGTTACAGGAAAGAAATTGGAGTTGATAGCTTGCATACCATCTAGCTAATAATCTGCCACACAATTCAAACATCACTGCCTATTTTCTTCAGCCACACACTGTGGAGAAAGTATCAGGGTACGGAAACATGAGAAACCAGTTTAGGAAAGGGGTAGATACGAGGTGGTAAACATGAGCTAAGAAAATCTGGCCAGTGAACACTGGAGAGGAAACCAAGTGTGGGCTCATACATTGAATCCTGGAGAAAATAGCAGTCGTCATCATCAGATTCAGATACAAACAGCGAAGGTCACATGAAGCTGTGTTGGCAGGTATCTGACTGTGTAGGCACTGTGCCTGGCTGCATCTGAAGGTGCTTTCCCAGTAGGCTTTTATGGAAGCTGTAGATGTTGCTGCATCTTAAAAGATTAATTGATGTCAAGCTGTTAGTATCACTGCAGACTTTGGATTTGTATCCCTGAAGCTTCCGTATTCACCAGGGAACAGGGACCAAGACCCTCCAGCTGGTATTCACCATGCTTTGGTGTGTGCAGCTCTATGGGCCTTGCCCTTTTGCATTCAGAACAGATTGTGTGTCAGTGGACGTCTGATGCAGATCCAGTCTCATGTAGAAACATGGGGAGAAGGTTCATCGTTAGCTTGCTGTTACAGGTCCTTCGGAGACTTCAGGCCGTGCCTGTAAAGGAGTCCTGCTGCTACAGACTGTCTCTTCTTTTTTCCTTCCTAGATTGAGGAGGAGATGCTGGCGTTGCAGAACGAGCGTACCGAACGGATACGAAGCCTGCTGGAGCGTCAAGCTCGCGAGATCGAAGCCTTTGACTCAGAAAGCATGAGGCTAGGTTTTAGTAATATGGTTCTTTCTAATCTCTCCCCCGAGGCGTTCAGCCACAGCTACCCGGGAGCTTCTGGCTGGTCCCACAATCCTACTGGGGGTGCAGGACCTCACTGGGGTCATCCCATGGGTGGCCCACCACAAGCTTGGGGCCATCCAATGCAAGGTGGACCCCAGCCATGGGGTCACCCCTCGGGGCCCATGCAGGGGGTACCTCGAAGTAGTGCTATAGGGGTCCGCAACAGCCCCCAGGCTCTGAGGCGGACAGCTTCTGGGGGACGGACGGAACAGGGCATGAGCAGGAGCACAAGTGTTACTTCACAAATATCCAATGGTTCACATATGTCTTATACATAACTTAAACAATAACTGAGGGTGGCAATTCCACTGGAGCTGTCTGCAAACAGAAACTGCCTACAGACACCAGCCCAGCAGCCTCCTCAGTGCGGTGCTGACGTGTGGAAGCTGGGTGCACATGGAATATTGTATTCATTTTGTAAAGCATTACGTTTTGTGTTTACTAACTGGGATGTCATAGTATTTGGCTGCAGGGTTTGGGGAGGGGTGTTTTTTTGTTGGGTTTTTTTTTACTTTTTGGAGGGGTCTTGGGAGGGCGACTGAGAAATATATGCAATTAGTCAGAAGAGTTGGCCGGTGGTCGTCACACTGACAGGACAGGAGGGCCTCAGACTGCCCTCGTCATGCCATCCGTAGGAAGTGTGAGGGAGAATGGAGACCACCTCCCATGTCCATAAATTTCGAACTGCCACCCTGCAAAAACCGGGCAAGCTGCCTTTAAACCAACATCCAGGGGAGGAACAGCTGGATCTTCTGTTCCATTTTCATTTGTCATTAAATTGGGTACACTTCTAGGATATTGCCTCTGCAAAGAGGTGTTTTCGAAGACTTGTAGGTGAGGAAGAAGGGTGAGAAGAGAGACCAGGATGCACCAGGGCTCAGCAGGGCCTTCTACCCAAGTGCCCGCTCCATGTCGTGTGAGAAGTGATGTTCTCTCAGAAGGCACTGGTCAGCTTCCCGAGAATGGTGGAGGTAAACCTGTCGGGAGGGAACAGGCTAGAAATGTTTGAAATTGTGTTCCTGCTTTGGCACTCCCTGACTGTGCTGCTGGTAGCTCAGATGAGGTTGGGCAGAGGAGCAGAAGTAATGCACTTGTACAGCTAATACTGTGACATCTCATTTTAGCTAAGCATCAGAATGTTTCTTGGAGCCCAGCGTAGTCCTTTTTGCTCTGTTCAGAAATGTTTAGACTTTCAGCCAATCAGTCTCAAATGCCAGAGGTATTTTGAAGGATGCCATAGTCACAAAATGCCATTGATCGGGTTTTTCATTATTACACTACATCCACCAATTTATTACCTTTTTGGCTTGTTGCAATTTCCTGTTTACATGTAGAGCGTAGCCAACTGTTTAAATGTTTATATGAGGCTCCTTTTTATTATTTTCTTTGCTGCAATACTTCACAACTTTTACAGTCCCTTGAGATGCTGTGATATTTTGGCAGCGTATCACACCATGCGAGAAGGCACTACTTCCAGAGGCTCGTTGGAGCTGCTGTACTACTGAAAGGAGGCAGAGGAGGTTGTGAAATCCATACGGTGACAAAGGGGTCAGGGAGTCTCGGTAACCGAGTGACGTTGTGGCATCGTGTTGTCCCTTAGTGCTGGGAACTGGAGGTGCCCCCATGCTCTTGTGCCAGGGCGCTCTGGGTCAGCCAGCGATGGGGGGGGGGGCAGGGAAGAGCAGTAGGTGAAGTTTGGCTTGAGGCAAAGATTTCCGTCTTGGGGACTGACCAGCCAGGGTTCTTTGTAAATGTTTTTCCTTGCACACTAATCATCTTGAAGAAAACACTAGCTGCTAACTCTAGGATTTGCCTTTAACATGTTTATAGGGCTCAAAAGCAAGGTTTTCCGAATGTGTTTGTCCATGTGACATATTTATATAGTAAATACTCTAGTGTCTCGCTGCTGTTCAGTACTCTCAACAGGGCGATGTTCTTTCGTTAACTAAATTAACATCCACTCCCAATCCTTAGCTCTCTGCCAGTGTCCGGTGAATCCAGCTGGGATTTCTAGCATCGTGACGTAGCATATCACTCTAATTGAAGATGGAAACTACCAAAATGTGTTTGAGCAGCCCCTTAGTAAGGAGCTTTGTAGTGCTAACAGTTGACAGAAGCCTGGGATGAGGCAGTGGTCCCACGGAGGTGACTCCGGTTGCCCCCTGGGGCAGGTGGTGACCGTGGATTGTCCTGTCCTTTCCTCTGCTATGTTTTTGTGTGGAACTGGATGTTTCGGGGTCATTCTTTTGCATTGCAGTGTTGTTGAAATGCAGCAAAACTGATTTAGGAAAGGTACCTCTATTTTCCTGGGTTTAGAAAGAAAGACAAAAATGAAATGAAAGGCCAAAATTGTATGGGATTTACCGTGTGAGAATGGAGGGTGTGCCCAGAGCATGGTGCTAACACAGCGTTTTGAAGTTCCGCTCCTCTGTCACAAACAGCAGCAGTGACAGTGGGGACAGGCTATACCTGCAAGTTCCGTGGGTTCGTTCTTTTGCTTCTGCTATGGTTTGAATTTGGTCAAAGTCTCTGGCTTAAATTGAGCTACTTCAACAGAATTCTCTCAACCCATCTCTTCGTGTAATGTCAAGCATGACTGAATGCTGAATCCAAATGATGGCTGTCCCATATTGGCTTTTTTTGTATTCAAAAAGAATTGTGTAGTAACCATTTTTACATGTATATCATGTGCAGACCTGGACTATTCCAACAAGTTAATATTTTAATTAAAATAGTTTGCAAAAACTGATTCAGATCAACTGGTCTAAATGTGTGTGTCCCTGTGTGTACGTGGGGGAAGGAAAGCTGTCCCAAAGAAGCCTCATCTCGAGAGAAAGCACCCCGTTACGCAGCTGTAGCCAGAGGGACTCAGGGTCCGGCTGTGCCCTGGAGGGGTGTGAGGAGGCCCTTGGCGTTGAGAATTTTAATGTATCTCGGGTATATTTCTGAGATACATAAACAACTAGAAAATGTGCTAGAGAGACGCAAACACTCTCTGAATCAGTTTGCAAACTCTGTTTTTAAAAGTAAGGCCAATTACTCCGTATTGTACTCGTTGCAGTCATGCCCTAACTTTGGTTTTAAAAATACTGTAATCTGTAAATTGTGGAAGCTACTGCAGTACCTCAGCAAAGATATTCTCTTACATGTTTTATGTTCATATTTAACACTGGGGAAACTCTTCTGTGTGGACTACTTTGCAAACTTTATTGCAGTATTTCCAAATCGCCAGCTTGACCCCTGAAATCTCTTACTCCATGGTTATTTTTCTCTCCCCTTTGCAAGGACCTAAAGTTCTGATGTAGTTTAGCCCAGAGATGAAAAAAAACAGAGGAGCCAGTGTTTTCACCTCTCTCTGATTTGAATTTCTTTTGCTTTTACTTAACTAAAATCAGTGAGAGGGACCCCATTTTTCTTGTTCTCCACGGTCCTGGGGAGTCAGGAGCCGCTTCTCCCTTCCACGTTGAACCTTACGTGCTTTCTGCCTCGGATGCAGCGCTGAAATGGAGGCCAGCTCTGTTTCGCTTGCATTCGCTCCAAGCCTGTGAGCTTCAAAGGGGTTGAAGGAATTAAAGTGGTACGATACCAAGCTTTCCACAGAAAATTCCCTGCAGCCGTTCCTTGCCTGGCTTGGGGCCAGGCTGGCATCGCTCTGCATCCCACCCAGCCCTCCCACTCCAGAACAGCGTGCATGGGGTGCCCCCCGGTCCATCCCGGGGTGTTGCTGTTTATTAATCCCCCAGGAAGAAGGGCCCCTTGACCCTGCTTACGTGCCATTTCTTGAGAGGCAATAAATTGTATTGTACCACTGTCTACCATTACTCTGAATACGCACATCTCTCTGGATATATATGGTATCTCATTTGTATATATTTATATATTCTGTATGTAGATGTGTGTGGGTATACGTGCACACACACCTCACGCTGTGCATTTCTGTCAGGGCACTTCAGTTCTGCTGTTCTTTAGCACTCCTGTTCGTGAGCAAAAGCAACCCCTGCAGCAGGGCTCTCGAGGGCGGGGGCACGCACATCCGCACAAGCTGTGCTGGGGCTGAAAATAGTCAAAAGCCCTCGCTTAAATTCTGCCCTGCTAATTGTAGCTTTCTTTTTCTGGGGCGCGGGAGGGTAGGCTAGCTGCTATGGGTGTGCTGTAAAGGAGAGAGGAGAGCTCCCAGAGGATACCAGAAAGTCAGAAGACAGCAGAGAAGAAAACAAGATGGTATAGCGACAGGAGAGCAGTTGAGGCAGTGTACCGATCTGCTGGGGAGGCGGTGAGTGGGCCGGTGAAGTGCTCAGCAGGCTGAGCTCAGAGTCCCCAGCTGCGTCTCGCCAGGAAAGATCACAAGCCTGGCACGGCGTTGGCACGCTGCGCCGGCACTCGCTGTTGGCAGTCCCGAGTGGAAGCCATCGCTGACTCTGAACATTGTCTACCTTTGTGTGCATCTGATAACTAGAGCAGGGTAATATGTGTGTATGTCTGTGTGTGACATATACATATGTATATACACACACAGAGGCACGATTTGGGTCCATTCTTTATTCTGCTTAGGCATCTGTGTTTGGTTACTTGAGTCCAGTAAGCAGAGGACAGCCTTGTTCTTCTCCTGGGTGCTTGCTCTGCATTTCTAGCAAATCTTGCCCTGGTCTTTCACAGAGTAGAGGGGTGAGTGCCATGCTGGTCACCACGAGCTCCTCAAGCTGTGAAGACCCTCCTGTCCTTCTCCTTTGTCTTCTACAGTCCCCATCTTAGTGAGTCATCTGGCAGTTTGGGGGATAAACGGTTCTCGCGTGTGTCAAGTCACAAATGTTCATCGAGCTGCGATATTTCCGCCCCGGGAAGCCCAGCCAGCTCAGCGCCATGCCAACCACGGGCTCCTTTCTTTGTGCCAGCAGAGAATCTGGAGGCCGTTTTCCCCCCTGTCCCGTTTGGAAGGTCTCTTGCGAGTTTTTTGGGAGAGGCTCAGGTTTGGTTGGGACATCCTGACCCTTTCACAAGGAGCAGTGTTTTCTTTAGCTGTGTTCCTGCCTGTGGGAGTTCCCCACCCCGGTGCCGGCCGGCTCAAGCCTGGAGCCCTGTGCCGAGGACGGGGACGTGGTGGATGCCCAGACGGGGATGCCGGTTGGTGTCCCTCTGCTGTGTTGGTTTCAGTTTGCACTTTTGCCAGTCGATGGAGCCGAGGTCTGTTGAGAAATACACGTGAGGCGCTTTGGAGGGTTGTGGGTAGCTGTTCACAGCCAAAAAAAAACCTGATAGATCTAGTGGTCATGGTAAACATCACCCCACCAGGGACCGATGGCAGCAGATAACCCCAGTTCCTGTTGCACAAGGAGGTTCAGCCAGCCGGGGCCGTGACGCTGCCTGCTGCATCCCTGCCCTGCCCCTCAGCCCAGGCTTTGCCGGGGAAGGAAAGGCTTTTGTCAGCTAGAGAGGGACGTAGTAAATCGGATTTGCCAGCGAACAAGCAC